CCCCAAAACCCCAAAACCCCAAAACCCCAAAACCCCAAAACCCCTCATGGGAATAATATTACTGAAAATAAATAAAATGGACGCAAAATCCCAGTTTAGTAGCCAAGCTAAAAAGTAAGTTTATAGACCAGGAGCCTGCAATCGGGTTCACCTCATATTGACATGGAGGTTAACTCCAATGCGCAGGCTCAGTTTGGGCTATTGGGGATTAGTTTTAAGGATACACGATCCTAGAGGTTTTCGCACTGTAAGAGCCCCAATCTTCTTGAGCCTTCCAAAACTTTTCTGGCGCCTAGGGACTATGTGGGTATCCTAAACCTTGACTTAATATTTCAGTCTTACTGTCTAAGGAACTTCTCTGAGGGTTGATACTACAGAAATCCATTCTTTCTGAATGAAAGATAGTATAAATAGGAAAAGAATATAATAGAAACCTTCCATTCTGGATATGTCTATTCTCGAGTGCATCCTTGGTGAATGATATGATCTTTAGGGCTCATTGCCTTTGAAGAACAATAATTTGCTTTGGCTTTCTCTAATTTAAAAGTTCAGGTTAGTCTCTCAATAAAATGGGGAAATGCCAGTTTTGTTATTTGAAATTGCCTTGGAAAGGAATTTGGCCAGTGCTTTAGAGGGAATGTTAAAATATCTTTCTGGCAAAAATTAGGAGAAGTTATTTGTAAGTTCTTCATAGCTATATCTTTTGATTAGTGAAAATTTGAGTCGATCTTATGAAGTTTAATCTTTTAGTATTTCTTTCTGGAAATACATATCTCTTCAGGATGAAATTTGATCTAAAACCTCGAAACTTTCATAAATTAATGAATTTTCTATTTCTCTCGAACATCAAATTTCTGAATCAGTTTCCCACTTTCAATACCTCTTTCATTCTTTTTTCATATCTCTTGCCGATATCTCTGACTTTATTTCAGTTTCTCTAAATTCAAGTTTTCATACTACAGCTATTATAAAGCAAGTAGAAAGAAGATTAGAGCCTTAAAAATAATTCATTAGCTGCTACATTGCTATCAAGAGTCTTATAACTCGATGTTTAAGTCTAATAATGTTAAAATAGGCATGACGCATGTGGAGTGACACCTCCAAAGACTGATATCTTCCTTTATTCCTCGAAGGACAGTAGCAGATGTGACCAAGTGAAGTCACAGCCAAGTCTGGTCGGTCAAGATAACTTATACTGGAAGGTGAATGCTAAGAGTTCATTTAAGACCAAGCCCTCGCTCTCAAATTATCGTTTCTTCACTAAATATCATACAAAAACACCTAAAAAGCAGATGTCAGCTCTCAACAGCACTCAGAGTAAGTTCATTTCTCTCATAAGTAGATGACACTAACCAGTCTAATGTGGAGAATACTTCTCAACCAGCTATTGTTGGTGACCGCTTGGTGAAAATAGTCAGCATAACTCTGGCAAAGGCAAGGTCAAACTCATCCAGAAAGATCTCTGTTTCCCCTCACTGCTCCAAACGATATGAGCCAAAGGAGTCGAGTATGGCTCCTGTTGCTAACACAGAGGCTTCAAAGACCTTAAGTATCGATTCAGAGTCTTATGGCATGCCACAGACTACTCAGGCTAGATTTCAGAGGAAGATAACATTCGGTGAATCCGCCTGCTTCTGAAAAGATGGCTCTAATACCATTATTAACATGAATATTGATGAAGGGATCACTTCAGGTCAAGATAACAGGACAATTCATGTACTCCCTTTACCTTATTCAGGCCTAATCTGGTATAGAATGACCCTTCAAGAAATTTCAGAGTCAAAACAAAGAGGAAGCTAGATATTTTGTGTTCAAAGGTGAGATTAATAATTACTTAGACATCTTAGAGGAAGAGATAAAATTCTAGAACTTTTGACACCATTTTAAAGATTTTATGACATTTTGTGTTGTTCTTAAAATTTTAGGAAATTTAATGCTATTCCTGGCATTATGGGACCAACTTATTGGCTAAATTTGTCCCTTACACAGCCTCTAGTGGATAATTTGTCAATGTAGGAATAAAACAAGAAAAAATTAGCCAACTCTCACTTTTTGATCGATAGATATTATGATACGTATGAACAATTCCGAATTGTTTAAGGGAATTTTAAGGAAAATGGAGTCTCTAGTTTCTTCCTAACCTAAGAAGATCTAGGCCAACTTCAGGATCCTTTAACTATTAAACTCATTTTCCTTATAGATTGATCAAGGAGGCTTCAATGCAAATTCAGAACTAGGTAATCTTAAAAGTTTGGAGCATTAAAATTGACATTAAGCTTGCTGTAAACATTCAGGGTGCCCCAAAATTTGTAACAAGGCTGAAAGCTCTGGTTGATATTTTGGAGTTAAACAGTCTTGGGGCTGTCCTCTTCTTCAATAGTGACTAATTAAGTTAATTTACTGAGTTTCAGTTACGATAATGAGAGTAACTCTGCTACAAATGATATTCATGATTTTATGGATATGCGAATGAGGTTTATAAACCAATTCACCAACTCAGTCATTTTGTTAAAGATTCATCAACTTCTGAACCTGCCTCACACATTGTGATTATAGATCAGCCCACTGGAATTTTGCCAATGATGCATTTGACTCATACTCAGACTAAGAAAACAATGGAGAATGAAGGGGACTGGCCATATTTTGAAGACGATATGGACTCTTCACTTGATGAGAGTTTCGATGAGAGCTTCTTCAAGTAAGTTAAAGTTTTTTATCTTGTATAGAAACATTCCAGCACTCGGATTTAGTGACAAGCGGGAAGAAGCAGCCAGATTTGAGATTGATATGACTGATGCCAATCAGATTGACAACTCTATGGTGTCTGTATTAGAGACTCTTCAAGGCATCTAATCCTTCTTGTATGAATTTTACGAATTATATAATTATGCTCTAAGTATGCATAACCACGACATTTTTCATCAGGAATTCAACAACCGAAGTTCACAATGGGGTTTTGGGGTTTTGGGGTTTTGGGGTTTTGGGG